GTAGGGCATGGGTTAGGGTGTGGGGAGGGATGCAAGGGAGGTAAAGGGAACAAAGGTGTCTGTAGGTTGAGAATTGGCTCATGGAACGTAGGTACTTTGATGGGTAAGTTTATAGAGTTGGCGAAGATCCTCCGGAAGAGCAGAGTCAATATAGCGTGTGTCCAAGAGACAAGGTGGATAGGGTCGAGGGCGAAGGACGCAGACGGGTATAAACTTTGGTACTTAGGAGTCCAGAAAGGTAAGAATGGAGTGGGCATCTTGGTGGATAGGGAACTTAGAGAGTCTGTGGTTGGGGTTAGACAAATGAATGATAGATTGATGATTATTAAGTTGGTGGTTGAAGAGTGCACCTAAACGTCGTTAGCGCCTATGCGCCGCATGTGGGCCTAGATGAGGAGGTTAAACGGCGCTTCTGGGAGGGGTTAAATGAGATTGTGCGCCAGGTTCCGCCTGCTGAGAAGCTATTCATAAGAGGGGATTTCAATGGGCATATTGGGTTGACCGTAGGTGGTTATGGCGAGGTGCATGGAGGCTTCGATTTTGGGGAGAGGAACGGAGGAGGTACATCGTTGTTGGACTTCGCTAAATCTTTTGGGTTGGTGATTGCGAACTCTAACTTTCCAAAGAGGGAGGGGCATTTGGTTACTTTTCAAAATGTGACGGCGAAGACTCAGATTGACTATCTTCTCCTCAGGAGGTGTGACAGAGAGTTGTTCAAGGATTGCAAGGTGATTCCGGGTGAGATACTCACGACGCAACATATGCTCTTGGTGATGGACGTTGGTATTATGTTAAAGATGAGGAAAAGGTATGCGCGAGGAAGACCGAGAAGCAGATGGGGATCCTTAACTAAGGATAAAGCCCAAGAGTTGGAGAGGCGGTTGTCGGCTATGGGAGCGTGGAAGAGTAGTGGTGACGCGAGCACTATGTGGTCAGCGACAACAAACTATATTATGGAGGCTGCGAGAGAGATGTTAAGGGTCTCGACGTGCGTCTCTAGTGGGCACAAAGGAGACTGGTGGTGGAATGAAGTGGTCCAAGGTAAAGTGAAAGCGAAGAAGACAGCGTACCTGAAGTTAGTGGTGAGCATAGGAGAGGATGATAGGCGAGCATGCATGGAGAGGATGATAGGCGAGCGTGCATGGAGAGGTATAAGGTAGCTAGGAAGGAGGCTAAGCTGGCGGTCACAGAGGCTAAGACTGCGGCTTATGGTCGTATGTACGAGGAACTGGGGGAAAAGGTGGGGAGAAGAAGTTATTCCGGCTGGCCAAGTTGAGAGAGAGAAAGGCTCGGGATTTGGACCAAGTGAGATGCATCAAGGACGAAGATGGTAGAGTATTGATGGAAGATGCCCGGATTAAGAGGAGATGGCAGACTTACTTTCATAACCTTCTGAATGAAGAAGGGGATCGAGATATTGTGCTAGGCGAATTGGAGCATTCCGAGAGTCACCGTGACTTTCGGTACTGCAGAAGTATCGAGGTCGAGGAGGTAGTGCGAGTTATGCGTAAGATGAGCAGGGATAGAGCGACCGGGCCATACGAGATTCCAGTGAAAATTTGGAAGTGTGTGGGGAGAGCAGGTTTGGACTAGTTGACTAGGTTGTTTAATGTTATTTTTAAGGCCAAAAGGATGCCAGATGAGTGAAGGTGGAGTACGGTGGTTCCATTGTATAAGAACAAAGGTGATATCCATAGTTGTAACAATTATAGGGGTATCAAATTACTGAGTCATACCATGAAAGTGTGGGAGCAGGTGGTTGAAGCGAGGATGACAGTGTCTGTATCCGACAACCAGTTCGGGTTCATGCTGGGTCGTTCGACTACAGAAGCTATATACCTTGTTAGGTGGTTGGTGGAACTGTACAGAGAGAAGAAGGATTTGCACATGGTGTTTATTGACCTAGAGAAAGCGTATGACAAGGTACCTAGAAAAGTTCTATGGAGATGCCTGGAGGCAAAATGTGTGTCGGTTCCCTATATTATGGCAATTAAGGATATGTATGATGGGGCTAAGACTCGAGTTAGAATAGTAGGAGGCGACTCTGAGCAAATCCGGTTATAATGGGGTTACACCAAGGTTCTACGCTCAGTCCGTTCTTATTCGCCCTAGTGATGGACGCGTTGACACACCATATTCAAGGGGAGATGCCATGGTGCATGATATTCGCCGATGACATAGTTCTGATTGATGAGTCGTGAGCCGGTGTTAACGAGAGGCTGGAGGTTTGGTGACATGCTCTTGAGTCTAAGAGTTTCAAGCTGAGCAGGACGAAGACGGAATACATAGAGTGTAAGTTCAGGGTTGAGTTGGTGGAAGTGGGCGTGGATGTGAGACTTGAATCACAGGTCATCCCGAGTAGAGGCAGCTTCAAGTACCTTGGTTTAGTTATCCAGGGGGGATGGGAGATCGACGAGGATGTCACACACCGTATTGGGGTAGGATGGATGAAGTGAAGGTTAGCATCTGGAGTCCTGTGTGACAAGAGAGTGCCACCGATACTCAAAGGTAAGTTCTATAAAGCAGTGGTTAGACCGACCATGATGTATGGGGCTGAGTGTTGGCCCGTTAAGAACTCACATATCTAGAAGATGAAAGTAGCAGAAATGAGGATATTGAGGTGGATGTGTGGGCACACTAGGATAGATAAGATTAGGAATGATGATATTCGGGAGAAGATGCACGTGGCTCCCATTGATGATACGGAGGCTTAGATGGTTCGTACATGTTCAGAGGAGAAGCCTAGATGCTCCGGTACGGAGGTGTGAGCAGCTGGTTGTGGAGGGAACGAGAAGAGGTAAAGGGCGGCCTAAGAAATATTGGTGAGAGGTGATCAGGCAGGATATGGCGAGGCTCCAGATTTCCGAGGACATGACACTTGATAGGAAGATATGGAGGTCGAGTATTAGGGTTGTAGGTTAGGAAGTAGTTGAGTCTTACCATACTTCGTACCATTGTGGGACTAGCCATGCAGGGTTTTTGTCTAAGATAACTAGTGATAATGTTGTGTCTTACTATTTCGCTTTTCAGTGCAGGACCTATTTACTAGCTATCACTTGCTTTGCATCTTTCTTCTAGATTTCATGGTGTTCTTATTTTTCCTATGATTGCTGTGGTGATACTAATATTGTCTCCTTTTATCCTTTTGTCTTTTTGTTTTCTTGAGACGAGGGTCTTTCAGAAACAACCTCTTTATTCCTTCGGGGTAGGAGTAAGGTACACTACCCTCCCCAGACCTCATTAGTGGGATTTTGCTGGGTTGTTGTTGTTGTTGTTATTGTATATGAGTGAAAACTTTTATTTTATAAAAAAGGTAAAATTTACAAAGGTACCTCTCACTTACGTTAGAAAGATTATTCTGAAGTTATAATTATTGATAAGAATTGTTTTTTTCTTTAGAAATTTTACTTTATCCGGGACCTTTAGAATATATAGGGATGTGGTAGACCATGTAGAGGTTCCACTGATTCTCCTCACACTCCTTATGTACTAAATTTAAGATGGTTTTAGAATTTACTAATTCTACACTCTGACCACGTACACCATTCACTAGCAAGTGGTGAAAAGGTACGATTCCCTCAAATATTACCTTTGCAACTATGATCAAGTCTTGGAGTTTAATTGCTAAAAACTCATTAAATGAGTGACAGAAAACAAAAGATTCCTT